ATTCTGTATTTTCAATATTAATTAATTTTGTACAGAGGTTAGTTTTCATGATATTCGTCGATTTAACTATCTATGATATTCGTCTATTCGTCTTTTTTCCGAATACCGCACCACTGCACCTATAGGAATAAACGAAAATGCAAAACATGCTGTGACTTAAAACAAACTGACTTTTAATGCACTTCCACCCTCAACTGATGAAAAATCCAAACGATCAACTGTATACATTGATTTTGCGATTTACAGCACCGCGCGTAATATAATTAATTTTAGGGATTATGCATGGATGTTGTGCAAATTAGTATAGGAAGTAGGATGACCATGTCCATGTATTCTGGTCATGCATGCATTCATAAAACAAGATATATGCATATGAAATAGGTACTTACCACATTGCAGGCATTATCGCATATTGCATCATTGGTTCTAGGGTCAAAACTGCAGATTAACTGACAATGTTTTTTTCGCCCAGCACACGCTATATATATTAAAGAGGATAATTAAAAACGTTAAAAAAGTTAATTTAACTAATGGACGGCTGTACGCATGCATGCAATGCTGTTTTCAGTCAATTACGTTATCAAAAATAATTTATATTTTCAAGGCGGGAAGTAATGTACCCGATCTGTCTATACTGTATTTCAAACTACATAATTATGTGTGAGTGAATCTGTATTCTTCGTGGCGAATTTAACAACTAATTTTGAGCTTCTGTTTTGTTTTTTGAGTGAATCTGTATTTTACATTGAATAGTGCTTTTTGCAATACTATATTGAGCTCTATCACAGTCAGTTTTGCTGACATATAGCTGCTTTTTAATTAAACTGCAGTTTTAGACTAGCGTCCTAAAGAGACCTTTTTCCCATAGGCGTGCGGGGCGGGGTACGGGGGCATTTGCCCCTCCCCCAGAAGTTCGGGCACATTATAAACGTAATTCGGGCAAAAAGAGATAGAGATATATACAATATAGTATTTGAAAGTATAATGCCAGATATATGTAAAAGAAACATGGATATTCGACAATTTTTACCACTTTTTCCACTGATGAATGCACCGCTCGTTCCCATGCAATTAGCTAACTCATATCAAATTTAAATATAATACAAAAGTCATTTAAAAAAATACTCTCTATACATAGCTACATGAGTATACCCAATGTTGTCCCCACAAGTGTTAGCGAAGCGTGTAAACTTTTCATTTATAGTATTGACAAGCTAAGTAATGTTACTACTATACTTATCAGTAGTAAATGCTGACTTGCTCCTTAATTTGACGATATATAAAAAACGGCCTCATCTTTTCATAATACCAACCTCATGCAGGTTAAATACAACCGTAAGCTCCTAATGGAAGATGAACATATTGATATCTCAGTTATATTAAAGCAATTTGGAAAAACCAAAAACTGATTTTAGAAACATAAATCAAAGTTTAAGATCATTTATTTAACTTTAATCTTACATTCTTGCGGTCATGGCTATTATCAAAGCTATATGCGGTAAAGCATAAATGTTTTGCACGTTTCGACTTCGATCGATGCCCTATACCAATCTCTTTCTATATGAAATACAGTATTCTTTGATTATTCTTTGATTATTAAGATGCTTAATGTAAACTACTGTGCATCTCGACTAGCTTTTTCTATTTATGGAGAGTAATGATGCAACAGTTATATTTCCGGTATTTAATAAAAATCTTGTAATTGTAGATATTATGAATAAATCCTTGTTTCGGTCACAAATACATTTCTTTGATCTTGGCCATAATCACAACCCAACCCTAACCCTAGCTTTATTGTGCACGAAACATGAGAATCTAACCATAAACTATTTCTTAATTTTACTGTCCTATCGTTACTCTAATATCTGTGACTGCAGAACGGCAATATAAACTGACTAATGAGATCCCCCGCATCGTTATATAAACTGACTAATGAGATCCCCCGTATTTATAGCATCATGCATGCAAAGCATTCTGGTCGGTTAACAGCAATGCATTCTGCTCGGTTAACAGCAGTGCATTTTGGTCGGAAAATCGGAACTAAAATCTTACTTTCAGAGCCCAATACGAATTAGAACTGCTGACTTGCTCGCTCGCTTCAGGCTCGCTCGCTGCGTCAAAAATAATGGTTTCTCTTGCAATTTGGAAAAACATACATGTACACTCGTGAGTTATTCACTTTAAATTGCACTCGTATATAATTTTTATCGCCTTTGAAAGACTCACTCGTGCACGTTTCTTTTCCAAATTGCACTCGAGTCCATCCTAATACCTATAGTATGATTACTGAAGGTAAAACGTATTATAAACGAAAATCAATTAACTATAGAATGAATAATATTTGATTTATACTGAAGTCATGTTGATCATCTTCATATGTATCGCCGTCATTGTTTGCGTCTAGATAAAGAAAGTTAGATCTTAACAATAAAAATGAAAGCTGAGGTCAGTTTTTATGCATGGCTGGGGGGAGCGGAGCGTTAAAATGAGTAACCTTGCACTATTTACCGACGCAGAGATGAGTGCGAATAATTGTTTTAGCATACACCACATGCCTTGGTGAGAGCAATTTCATGTGATATAAATAGTTACGAATATCTCACGTATCTAGACGTGTAACAAGCTACACTTTATGTATATGTATATATATATATATATATATATATATATATATATATATATATATATATATATATATATATATATATATATATATATATACGTGACACTGGCTAAGCAACATTTTATTTCCATTACAATAAGCAAGTCCTCCCCCCGCTCTTCCACCCATGCAATGTTGTGTAGAGTGTTGGACTTGGAAGGTGTAATGCAACATTGAATAGCGGGGGCAGGGGGGTGAACATGAAATTGTGAATAAAATCCGCAAGGATGGAAATCGTACTCAGAAATGGAGTGAAGGATTTTGCTTTCTTGACTAAATGCGCCAATGATTTTTGACCAGGAGTGTAGTTCGCCTTGAATTGTTAGTATTTCTTTTCTCCCTAAAATGTCACAAACGAATTCGCAATTTTCTGTCTTATATAGGAATTTTATCGTTGAATACAATCATTTTCAGTTGTGGGATGTTTTGATGTTTCACCAGAGACAATTATTTAGTGTTAGATGCATGTATACAATGTAAAAAAATATTTTGACACATCATTGCTAGTAAGATTACAATTTACAAAACACATTGCCAGATACAATAACTTACACAATCCAGCAACCAACAGCATGAAGAATGAAAAAAATCCCAGCATCTTTAGTTTTTGTCTTATCAGCATCTTGATTTAACCTTTGAAAGTTTTAGTAGAGTCGAGTACAGAATATATATAAATGTCACAGGAAACACTTTAAAAATCAATGAATATAACAATTTAACACGTCATTGAACGAGAAGAGGTCCTTGAAACTGATTTGAAAAGCAAATTAGTTCATTCGGTCTGGTATCCAGGGATGTAGCAGTTACTGCCAGTTTTATAAGTGAGACAAGACTGCTTAAAACCACCAAATGTCAAGAACATCTATCATATACCCCGATGTTTCCATCGTGTTTTACATTTATTTTCTGCGTTATGCGTATAGGAGAGAGTTGAAGAGGTGTATTTAACATCTGTCAATATAGATTCAGAAAAATGCACTCCACATCATTGCCCTAATTGACACAATGGCAAAATATCCCCTTCAATTGCTTGAATGGCTCTTACGATATATATTTAGACCTTTCAAAAGCTTTCGATACATTTAATCATAGCATTCTTTTGGATAAACTCGATTACTATGGAATTCAAGATTTATCATTAAGTTGTTTGAAATTCTTTAACCTAACTTGGATATGTATTCAAAATGTGTTGTTATTGCACCATTTGCCTTATAACTGTTGTCAATATTCGTCAGGAGTGGCGTGCGGCATCCTAAAAAAAAATAGAAATGCCCATTTCGACAAAAACAGACTGTGAGTAGTGAACATAGGTTAAATGTGAGGTAGTTACGAGTAACAAGGTATAGTCGTGTGCTGGATACATAGAACAACTAGGAATGATCCACCGGGAAAGTTTGAATTCTAGAAATCCAATGGCCATTTCCATATTTTCTGTGTTGGTGTGATACATGTGAATAAGAATACAATCAGAGTAACATCACAAACATGTTTATTTATTTATTTATTTTTTTATTTATTTATTAACTTCAGCCGTCAACAAAAATATAAACATATACTAAGAGGAAGACGGTTCAGGAACACCAACACAGCGTGAGCCAATTACCTTAGTGACCTGTTACAAAACTTCATTATACAAGACAGACAGACAGACAGACAGACAGACAGACAGACAGACAGACAGACAGACAGACAGACAGACAGACAGACAGACAGACAGACAGACAGACAGACAGACAGACAGACAGACAGACAGAAAGACAGACAGACAGACAGACAGACAGACAGACAGACAGACAGACAGACAGACAGACAGACAGACAGACAGACAGACAGACAGACAGACAGACAGACAGACAGACAGACAGACAGACAGACAGACAGACAGACAGAGAGAGACAGAGAGAGAGAGACAGAGAGAGAGTAAAAATTGTCAATGGCAAAATGCAAAATTGTCAAACAGAATAAATGAGAAACAGGAATGGTCCGAGTATTAATCCTTGCGGCACGCTGGAGGAAAGAGGACGTGTCTCTGAAATCTCACCATTGACTAGTACACGCTGTTGTCGTCCGGATAAATAACTTTTAAACCACGTTAAAATATTGTCCGTAAGTCCAAATCGTTGGAGTTTCTTTAAAAGAAGGTTATGATTCACCGTGCCAAACGCTTTAGCAACATCGAAATACAAGATATCTGTTTTTCTCTGAATCCAGGTTTTGACTGATGCGGTGAAGAACGGAAATGAGCTGACCTGTGGAGACTTTCCTTTCAGAAAACCATGCTGTGCAACGGATATCATGTTCTCTATATGACCAATCAGACGGTTGTAAACACAACGTTCTAAAATAACGCAATAACGCACATGAGAGAAATTGGTCTGTAATTCTCAACAAAATTCTTGATTCCTTTATTATGAAGAGGGATGATGTTGGACAGTTTCCATTCTGATGGTAGGGAGGCCTGCTTTAAGAATTTGCTGAGGAGACATGCTAATGATGGCGTGATGGAGTGCGCACATTGTTTTAGTAAGCGGATTGGTATATTATCTGGACCAGATGCTTTACTAGGTTCGAGGCAATGAAGAACGTCATATGCTTCACTTGGGTCTAAAATAATGTCAGAAATAGTCTCTTCACATACAGATGTAGCGGGGATTGAAATATCATCACCTTCTGTTAGAAATACTGTGTGGAAGTAGTCATTGAACATTTCTGCAGCTTGTTTTTGACTAGTGGAATCTAAGCGTGGGGAGTCTTCGTTGCCTTTCGCGACGGAAACTTGCTGTGGAATACGGCTGGATTTAGTGGTTGTTTTAAAAAATGACTAGAACAGTTTCGTATTGGCTGGTAGAGCTTCGCTTAGGGAACCAAGAACTTTTCCCGACTTTCTTTGATTGATCTCTTAGATGTACGGCGGAGATTCTTGTATTTCTGTACAAGTGCAGCAGAATTTGTTCCGCGACGGATTTTTCGCCGTAGTGTTTCTTTCTTTTTGATCATTGACTTAATCTCACCAGTCAGCCATGTTATGTTATATTCTATTGCATTTGGTCTGGATATGATAAATTATGAAGATCTCATTAGGGATAAAAGTATAATTTTCCTTTTCCAAATAAGTATACTAATCCAATAGCTATACGCTTCCAATAGTTTAAAGGTACGCGTGTTCACTCTTTCCGTTTGCACGTTTCAGTATATATAAAGAGAGTTTCTATACACACCATCCTCAACTATACCATTTATTGCTATTCATCAAGTTAAATTTTTTAGCGTCGATTACCATGACATCTCTTCCAATATGAAAATATGCGGAAATTCTTTTTCAGTTCCAAGTGAAATATCACACAAAGCAAGCCCTGTTCGTATAAATGCGCGTATGGAAATGACTAACTTATTTATAAATATTATTTGAATGCCTGAATCCCGTCAAATTATAGGGTTCAATTTGCTATTACTTTAGGCTACTGTACTTTGTTTTGTTTTGTTTTGTTTTGTTTTGTTTTGCTTTGCTTTGCTTTTCTTCGCTTTGCTTTGCCTTGCCTTGCCTTGCCTTGCCTCGGTTTGCTTTGCTTCGCTTTGCTTTGCCATGTTTTGCTATGCAATTTGCTTTGCTTCACTTTGTTTTGCCGTGCATTGCTTTATTTTGCTTTGCTTTGCTTTGCTTTGCTTAGTGCTTTGCTTTACTTATTTTGTCAGTGCTAGATTTTAATATTAGCACTTGACATGTTAATTTCTTGCAGTGGATTGCAGTTCATTTCTTTGCCTTTTTTTTAAATTTCGAGCACCTCTTGTCACTCAAGTAGCTACATCCGTAATTTTTATTAGAGGTTTTCTTAAGTGTAAATTTATACATATTATACAAGTAGCGGTCGCCGTCAATTTAATACATTCTGTTGTCGGATTCTATACACTCTTGGAAAGATTTCAAAAACGTTAGGAAGAAGTTGAGAAGATAAAAAATGAATAGGCTAAAACTGTTTTCGTTTTTCCTGCTGTTTATTATCACTTCGGGTAAGTTCATAGCTATATTTCCAATATGTTTTAGTAGCTAATAACTGTATTAATTCTGGGAGAATTTTGAAATATACTACAACAAGAAGATATGAGTTGTTTGTTTGTGGTGTTTCCACAAACAAACTATTATATGTTTTATCGCCATGCAAACATACAAAGAACTTATAATGTTGTTTGAGTTTGAATCATGCGTTCTATAGTTTAAAGTTATGTGCCTTTATGAGTTTATGATCATTTCCCAAGTTTGTTTATGCCAAATTCCTTACAAAAGGATTAAAAACTGTTGACAAAATGGATTTGAATTTTAAGGAAAGCGATTTTGTCAGGCATATAATAAATAAATAATCGGCGGCTCATGCAATTTTGGCACCGACATTTTTCAAATATCAGTCGTAGTGTTAATCATTAATTTGCACTCCTTCCTGTGTGATTACCTACTTAATAATATACATAAAGATATTACTCGACTGTGATTGGTTGATTTCAGTGCAGTTAATCCCAGCAGTGCAATTTTCTGTAATCACAATGCAATTTTCTGCAATCACAGTGCAATTTTTTGTAATCACAGTGCAATTTTCTGTAATCACAGTGCAAAAATTTGTAGCAAACTGATCTGATTGGTGGAAAAACATTGTGATGATTAAATGAACCAATCAGTTTAAAGCAATTTAGTTTAAAGAAGTAACGTCAAAAAACCAAACAAAACAAACATGGCGCCGCGCTACACAAAGTAAGAGTTGCCTTTGCGTGGAAAATATGGCTTTTATCTTTATTTTTAAATGGAAAAGCATTTACTTTAAACAAGACTAACAAAAATTACATAGTTGGTTGGAATTTTCCACCTGTTAATTAGCGTTGTATAATGTGATATAACAAAGCCAGGAAAACTTTGCCAGTAGAATGTTCGCTATAAACGCGTAAGTTAAAACTACAATTGTCTCGAACATTTTTATGTAAATTATATTAATATGTATATATATAATACCATGGTTTCTCGTGAAATTTGGATAAACATGCACTCGTGAGTTTTTTCAAAGACCTCAAATAGCACTCGTCCTATTTTGAAGTCTTTGAAAAAATCACTCGTGCATGTTATATCCAAATTGCAGAGGAAACCATGCTATTACCATGGATAATAAAATAAATGGATAGGACTCTAGTTGACGTAAGCAAAAACAACCTAGCTGCAATCTGTGACGTCACGCGTATTGCAAAGTTCTCGGCATTTTTGTTGTTTCGCTATACTTTCCGCTTTAAAAGAGTAATATTGAAGCATAAACTGGTCTAATTGTTTTAAAAACATGCCTAAGCCACGACAAAGTATTCAAGGTAAAAGTTTTTCGTCTTTGTTTTGTATTTTTTTACATTTGTAGCTATGAAATTGGCGTCCCCAATTTTAACGAAATTTGCGATGCATTTTTTCACTGTTTAGTGCTTGAAATATTTGCTAAAATTGACTGGGAATACTTAGAGATTTCATCGTAGAATGGCGTAGTCATATTTATTTGCTCTTTGACTAAAATATTTAGCTATATTATTGCTAAACATGCCGTTTTTGAGAATTTGGTTTGCAACTAGGTTTCAACATCTAACCATGCACGCCATCAGCCCATTGAAAACACTAGATCACGTCAGCTAGTTTCCTATCCATTTATTTTATTATCCATGCTATTACCTATACTAACCAAAGGAGGATCGATGGATAGTTGTAATGAGCACAAAAAATGCAAAAATTCTTTCAAATCCAATAAAAATGTGTTGTGTTGAAAATATTCCAGGAACTGTTTCCTTTGAGGTGTCGATATTGCGTTGTGAATGCAGACTTGCGGTGGCGTAGTGACGTTACAAGTCTTTATTATTGGGAAGCAAAATTTTTACCGATATCCGCATGATCGTTGCAACTTCGAGAGAAAAATGGGGGAAATGTTCGCGTATAATGGATGCCACAAATTAAAGGCAGAATTCACAATTTATATACGTTATAACAGATCCATGCAGTTACTTATTGAGGAGTATTTTTTCTTTCAGTCTCAATTTTATAAACGATTATATAATTATTTCGATAATTATTCTTTGGTTGAAATAATTGACTATGCTTTTATTTAGGCCTACTCGCCCGGAGATAATGCGCGAAAACTGCAACTTATAAGTAATGCGAATTTGAGCGATATATAGGGCGAATTTTATGGAATGCACGCAACTTAAAGTGTTTCAATTACGGTAATTTCAGAAATATAAAACTATCATCCCATATGAGTCCAGAGAAATTACTATACCATTTACCCATGCCAAATTAGCCGAACGTCCGAGTTTCCGCACACATATGCAATGTATGAAGCAAAATATACTTATTAAATTGGAACATGTACATTTGATATAAAAATAATTCATTATTCATCCATTGCTTACTTCGAAGCTTTTGGGTATTTTCTATTTTAAATTTTCAAGCGTGTACGGTACAAAATTGCAATGCAACAACATAATAAATTACACATTTCTTACCAATTTGTGTTGAGTTAATTAAGATTGGAAATCAAATGACCTCAAATATTATTTACAAATCAAAGCAATAGAATATACTAAAAGAAATAATTTTACAAAACAGTAATTGTGGATCACATTGAAAAGTCATGTTCGGACAATTTTTTTCCCAATCGATCACTTAAATTTGGAAGGTGATCTTTAAATTAATTAAACATGCCTTTTGAATTTCACATGGATGCCACTTTTCAGATTTGTCGTCCCCATACAGAAAACATTGTTTCGTGAAATTCCCAAACAATTCGTATTAAGCAATTAAAGTTATTGATGCAGTCTCCATAAAAACAAGAGTTTTAGTGTTAATTAATCTTGCATGTGAAAAGTAACTGGAGAAGATAGGGCATCAAACTTTGTTTTAAAAATTAGATGATTTTTTTTAAAGTTTCCTTCGTTTCCGTTCAGAAAATACTCCCACTATAGGTCAAATTCCAGGAAGGACTATATAACTCCGATAAAACAAAAGATAGAAACGTTCTGAAAGAAGCCTGATTAATATTGACTAAAGTCTGGTTTATCTCAGTAAAATATGAGCTGATTTTATTTTTCCTTTCCAAAACCGGTGGGCGGATTTTGGTGAGAGGCCCTTTTATGTTTAACAGGGGGGAAGGGGGATTCACTTCAAAATGTCCAGGAAAAGTTTATTTTTCACGATTTGTGGAAAATTCCAACATCGAATCCTGGTTTTATTGAACGTCAAAACTGATTTTCATTTACCTATGCCAATAAATTGAGGATTTTCCGTTTCGTATTGTGAAATTTAAAATGACAAAAAGTGAATGTACCGAAGAGCAACGAGGCTGGCGCTTAAACACACACATTGATTTTGAGCTTTTAGTCGTTGATTTAACTCGCAAGAACTGGAAAAAGTCAATGTTCTTATAATGTCATCTAAATTTTAATCCATTTGTTTGTTCGTTTGTTTATTTGTTCATTTTTTTTCAAATTACCTTTTTTACAATTAACCATAACTGAAGGTAATCCCTACAGCGTTTATTACTTTATTTACAAGGTCCGCAAGATTTTTCTCGAGATTTACTGTACCCAGATTATACTTCCAAGTCTCCGAGGAAACCGATTTTTAAAATTTCCTGAAAAACGAATAGGGTGTTCAAAAGGACCCTGTCAGCGGTAGTTACCGTGAAAATAGGCCTCAGTGGCATAGTATTGCGTCAACTGATAATGTCAAAATCGGCCATGTTTTTGGGATCTTTTTTCTTGTGCCGAGCATTTTTTCAATAATATAACTTGAGCTCACTCATTTTATCTTGATGCCCAAAGCTCAGTTTGTATTTACAGTTCACAAGTATATTTCTTTATATAGATGCAAGTGATGACGCTCAATTGGAGAAACGGTCCTCAACTGGTATATAAATTATCATTCATTTTTATAGCTAATCAATCTTCATCTATATTGTTTATACGTACCTACAGTAGTATACATTATACTGTAAAATCAGGCTTGATGATAAATATATATATATATATATATATATATATATATATATATATATATATATATATATATATATATATATATATATATATATATATATATATATATGTATATATAGAGCTATAGTTTTTTGTTCACTTCGTTCAATAAGGTTCCTTTCCTTGCGAAGCAATCTATAGCGTTTGATGCTTCCCCTCTCTCCCTAATTGTTTTAGCCTTGCTTAAAACGTTTGTCAAATGAGCTCTATGTTCTTTTCGTAATTAAGCGCTGAATTTTTGAGTTTCTTCCATCCTGGTCACGCCATGCCATCAACAATGTCATAAAAGACGAGAACCAGTTTCGTTTTGGTTAAATATATTTTGATGGATCGGAAATATTACAGAACTTTATGCTTAGTTAAAATATAAACTACTAATATAAGCTTCTAAAAGTGCGCGAAAAGACTGTCATGTGACTGAAGCACAGCTAATCCAAACTAAATGTCTAGTAAATATCAATGTTCTAATCTATGGTTTAATCTAATATTATTCAACAGTATTCAATATCTATATACAATTTGAAATATTTCCTTTCACAGTGTGCATTAATAATTGCCGTTCTGCCTGCCGAACAATTGGCACATTTGAAGGATTCTGTAATCAAATTTGCCCGAATGTTGTAAGTCTTAAAATTTATATACGTCATGTTTTAAAATTATGCTCGAATAATTCGACTGGTTTAATTACGAAAATTATGCCGGTTTTTGTTAAATTATACCGATTTACGCCAGAAAAGTCAAATGAGCAATTACGCAAGCAGTGCCTTTCCATATAAAGTACCAAAGATATGGCTCGTGTACCCAAATCATGCCAAACCATGTGCTAGCAGAATCGAGAAAAGCCTATTTGTGACCATAAAAATGCTTAAAAATAATGCATTGTTGACAACGTGTTTCTACAGCAGGTCATGTGATTGTCGGACATTTTACGATGTTGAACAGGAAGCATATGCAACTTGTATCAGAAATCTTACTAGATAAGTTCGGTCAGTAAAACCTCGCGCGATTGCTTGCTCCTGCATAACTTTGGCATATTAAATGTTTTCCTCCCAGTAATTCTGTTGGTTATAGTTCCACATAGGCTTTTGCTATGGCTGTATGGCAACACACGTACGCAACTCACTCTAAATTGTAGTCCATTCATTCACGTTGTTGGGGAAAAGCTCAGTGACCACATTCTTTCCGCGCATGATTTTATTTTGAACATTAATAACACTAAAAAAAGTGGTAATCTCGTTTCTTCAATTTGATACAGAATATTTTTCCTCAGCGTAAAACGTTCATATCTCAAAAGTTCAAGGTACCTTGGTGAACTCGTTTTCGAGTTATATTCATTGTATTATTTCCGGTCCTCTGCGACATAAATGATTTGTCAAACACGTACACAATTTTAGGCGCAGGTTGAGAAAAACCCGCACATTCAAGGGAATCAAAGTTTGAAATTGAAGCTATAGCCTATAGAAATGCAAATATCTTTGTGCTTTTTATACTAACTAAAGTGGTAACTAACTAATTACGAACAAGAAAAAAGAAAGAATTGTGACGGATTATAATTTTCCCGTCATTTGGCCAAAGATATGTTGGGCATATAAAACCTGCTTGCAGTCTTCTATTTCGACTTCTGTGTTTTCATGTTGGTGTTCAACTCAAGAAAGTGAGAAATAGATTCTCTATTTAAAACTGCCTAACTGGTCAATGTGCAAAGGCAAATCTCAAGTCAATATTTGAATTCCGATAATTCTGAGTTTGAACTTGTTTCCTGAACATAAATGTGATACAGACATACGACTAACAATTCATACATTTATATGGTATTATAAGAAGGTATTTTTTTATGAAAATAGAACAGAGAAAGATTAAAAATTCGCTTGATTTGTTGTCGATGTTTTTACTTTGGCCTTGAGAACTATATTTATATATATTGTCGACTGTTATTATACACGAAATTTTCACACGAAAGCGAACAACGCAAACTGCGAAATTAGACACCAGGGGCCGGTTGTATAAAAACGTAGTTAGCGCTAACTGCAGTTAAAAAGTAGTTAAAAAGCCTTAAAAAATAGTTAACTTTAATCACGTAGTTAAGCCTGTTGTATAAAAGTGTAGTTAGCCTTAACTGCAGTTAAAAAGTAGTTAAAGTTAACTATGCTTTAGGGTATAGTTAACTGTCCAAAACGTAGTTAAAAATGGTGTTTGTATAGGAGTGCACAACATTTTTCAGTAAAACAACAATGAAAAGCAACGCTTACCTGAGATTTTCAACCGCTATCTTCCCTGTGAATGTTTCCTGACAATATAAACTCTTCAAACGCTATCGCTTTGGTGTTTTTGCGAAAACAGAACATATTTTTGCCCAGGACGACTTCTCGAAGACGAAGTTTGGTCCATTACACCAAGAAACACTGATATATGATTGCCAAACAGCTATACCTTGGTTTAACGTAGGCATCTCAAGGAAAAACTGCATTCTTTTATGATTTTTGTGGCGGTTTTTCCTTGTTTTCTTGTATATTTTTCACTGTTTTCTAGTGTTTTGAATAAAATTCCCGCCTATTTGCAAAATACGAGTCCACAATCATGTTGAAAATGTGTGTCAGCGGTCGTTATTCGCTGCTTACTTTATGTCATTTTGTGTTTAAACGCCCCACGCAAGCCCCACGCACAGTTAACTACGTGATTAGTTAACTATCCGACTAACTACGTTTTGTGCAACGCAGTTAAGTCATGTAGTTAACTAATTACAGTTAAGGATTTAACTGCAGTGATTAACGCTAACTACAGTTAGCGCTAACTACGTTTTTATACAACCGGCCCCAGGGGGCGGAATAGGATTGGTTGAAATTTTCCTTTGCGGTCACGCCGAAAATTGCGTAAATTGCATAGCTATGTATGATAATTCATAGTTGCTCAGCGTCCGCCATCATGGACATGACATTTTTTGAATAATGTTAAATTAGTTATGCAAAATACTGCTTACGCAAGTGTACGGCATTAGTGTTGATTGATCGCAGACTGTTTCTCCGCCGCTCCAGGAGGGGTGGGCTGAGATAAGTCTGCTATCGCAGACTAAAGGCCCTTTTACGCGGTGCAATTTTTCATGCAACTTGTCTCGCAATGTTTAAAAAAAGACTTTGATAATGCATTGCAAGAGGTGTTACACGCTGCAATGATATTCATGCAACTCGCAACGATACGGCACAGAGGCATGCGAAGAGAATAGGGAGAGGCGCAATTTGGCGCCAAATTTTAATTAAAGTAAAGCGTGTACTGGGGAGAGCCAATAGGAACTCTCCAAGCATTAAACATTGCGAGACAAGTTGCACGAAGCCATGTTACACGCTGCAATGCTAAAAATAATTAGTGCAATCGTTGCCAAAAGTAGAACCGACTTCTACTTTCTGCAATGCTTCATGCAACTTGTCTCGCAACGATTTTGACCATTGCAAGGCATGTTAAATGGTGCAATGACTCGTGCAACTTGTCTCGCAACGCCATTGCGAGACAAGTTGCATGAGAAATTGCACCGTGTAACAGGGCCTTAACTAACAATGATCGCATGAGCGGCTTTTAGTTCGAACTGCATGAGCATTGAAGTTGAAAAACTATGTAACGTGATATTTAACATAAACGTTGCTGGGTTGAATCCGAGAAGGAAACTTTTCTTTGTTAAAGTTTGCCTGTCCAAAACAAACAACTAACAAGGCGACAAAACGTCTAAAACACAAAAATCGCAAAAAAATAAGAAACACGTGTTAGGGAAATAAGATTACAACCCACTGATCAGGTCATGTAAATTTCATTTTTTCAATTGAATTAAACTCCTAAGCTGCTGGCAGAATGTCTTCGAGCCACATGCGCAGTTCATATGTCTCCATCAACAAGAAGGAAAAAGCTGTCAAAGTCGACACAATGCCGTCCTCAATTTGGCTTTTCCAAAAAGTATAATCAGTAAATACCCAGCGTTCGCTTGCTTTCCTGCGTTTAGCCCCGTTTCTCAGGATACGAGGTTCCGATTGGGAATTATGAATAAGGTCTAGGAAACTCAGCCAAACATATTTAATCGTTATGCTCCAGCAATTTCAAATATGTATAAATTGTCTGCATTATGGATAAATTTAACATATTTTTGTGCCCAAATTTGTTGTGAGATATAATTTCTGACAAGGTTTCGCTGCCCATTCTACTGACTTACATTATATTAATTAATTTAATATTTTACCCATGGAGGCAGTAACATACCAAAAGATGTTCAAAATTTTCTCAAATTTCCGTAATGCGAACGAATTTGTTATGCCAAATTTGAATACATTAATATCCCCCAAAGTTTTATGTCGTAACAAACTCATAAACCTTACTACACTACAGGCTAGAACATATCGGACAGGACATACTTTAGTCCTTACCGTGCTTTCTTCCTTGTTTTCAAGTCTTTTCAAATGTTTTGTTAATTTCAAAAACACAACATAAGGCAAAATAATGAAAGAGATTTGGAACATCGAGACATGCAGTTTTTTATCCGAGTTTTGTTTAAAATTATAAAATGGCAGGAAATTTGTCTAGCTTTGAGAAATGCACTTGTAATGTTTCCAATACTAGTTGTGAGGTTAGTAATAAAAAGAGTCCAATCAACTTATTTAAAACATAGTTACAGCAGCTACTTAATTAATGCACGGAAATTAGTTTTTTTACACATACGTCTTTCTCATTAATAAGTGGTGTAGGTTACAAAATTTTTTGGTTAGTTATTCGGAGTGGATGTGTGTTATATGTACATGTTGTCGCTGTATTATACTCGCTGTATTATTATCACTTACAAAGACATTTTTGTTATAGCATTACTTTTAATTGTCCAACATAATAAAATATCTATTGGATTCGTCTTCCACCAATTTGGCAAAATATTAAGTTTCAACTTCAATATTTGGCACATTGGGCTTAGAAGAATCCAATTTTCAGTTGAGATGATGATTAATTTTAACATAGTTGTTGTTTTCCTAATGCCAGTAGGGCTAGGTTTTGCCGTGTATAGACCGCGTTTCCATGTAAAAGGAAACAGGACGTCTTCATGACGCTATTAATATACAAGAATATATTTTCTAATTTATTTTATTGTTTCCCATCCAAGCATATTGTTCTTTCTTTAGGTTTTGAAATCTTCCAATAGACCTGCCTGTCTCGCTGCCTGCAAATGGATCCCCGTTCGCGATGGAAAAGCCATATATACCTGCCATCGACTGTGCATGCTTGTAAGAACATAATTATAGTCGTTTTACCTCAAAAGGTGGCCACAAAAGCCTGTTTCATCCAAACGACATATCATCAGGTGGCTGACAAATTTCGAAAAGTGGGCTGCTTAAATGTTTAGGGTCGGAAACGTGGGCGTCAAACAATACATGCATTCCTTCCATTGTTATCATTGTTGACTAGAAATTTCTCTTTATGATTACATGTTGAAACTACAGGGTGTATAAAAAAAAAGCGCAATCCTCGACAGAAATGTAAATTGCTAAACAAATAATAAACGAAAACGTTAAAGTTTACATTCATTTTAAAGCGTAGCCATTCAGCTTTCTAACAGTGGGTTGTTTCTTAAATTTGACTCATTGGTTCGCGGGTAATAATACTTCACGTTATTGCGATTGGAGATTAAAAAAATTGAGATGGAATAACAAATCGTTCTCATGAAAATAACTGATTTTTTCATTAAAACAAAAAAATGTTGCATTTTATTAAATGGATTGTAACAATAAGTATAATTACGGCTTTTCTTCCACTATTTTTAACTCAGTTTGAAACTTCAAATGCGATATAATTTTGGCTTGGACCATCTAAGCTGACTGACATCAACTTGCTATAATTTCTGTTTACATTACATCGCAATTCGATGACACTCTGGCTCAGACACCAGAATGTTTTGACGATTTTTAGCATTCGTTTAGGATTTTCAAACAACCTGGTCTCTTTTAAAATACTTTTAATTTGTTCTTACGTGGTTTTCCAGATGTAATGACGAGAACATTAAAGTTTAAAGAAGAAAATTCTAACATTTAAACCGACTAAACAATAACATAGTAAACTTGCATAATTAAACAGCAACTAAAAATGATAGGTTTTACTAAATCTTTTCCTGTGCAATTATTACTAGCATTGGAGACAAGGATAATAGTGTGTTTGAAAGAGAAAAGAACAGGCTTTGAAGTAAGCCTAAAAGCGTTTAACTAGAAATAGTATTTCGAAAGTTATTAAGCACCAAAGATGAATTGCGTTTATTTTGATACACCCTGTTTTCTCTCGAAACACAAATTTCAGTTTTTTATTCCTCCGTATAAGAAACAGTGCGTTTTTGTGTTGGCAAGGTTATGTCAAAATCTTGTTTGTTGACACCGGAAAAGAAAGACTAATACCTACTCTCTCTTTTTTTCTCTAGTGTTTCCCTTGATCGACTTCCATGCAGACTTATATTTTTATTACATTTTTGTCCGGATTATACTGTATAATACATATGCATGTAATTCGTTTGTGGCTCTTTTCATGGTAAAACTTATAATTTTGAAACAGCTAGCATTAGGCTTACTGTAAAGCATGCACTTCAAAAATAATTCCTGTATGTATTCTGTTTTATTTAGTGATAAAAATTTGTGTGTGCATTTACGACGACATTTGTCGAGATTTGTGGTCCGTCATTATATCGCAATAAATATTCAACACTAATTTTAATATTAGCTGTTTTGTATATTAAATTAATAAATTCCTTCCAAATACAGAGTTTTCTCTCGAAACACAAATTTCAGTTTTTTATTCCTCCGTATAAGAAACAGTGCGTTTTTGTGTTCGCAAGGTTATGTCAAAATCTTGTTTGTTGACACCGGAAAAGAAAGACTAATACCTACTCTCTCTATAATAATACATATGCATGTAATTCGTTTGTGGCTCTTTTCATGGTAAAACTTATAATTTTGAAACAGCTAGCATTAGGCTTACTGTAAAGCATGCACTTCAAAAATAATTCCTGTATGTATTCTGTTTTATTTAGTGATAAAAATTTGTGTGTGCATTTACGACGACATTTGTCGAGATTTGTGGTCCGTCATTATATCGCAATAAATATTCAACACTAATTTTAATATTAGCTGTTTTGTATATTAAATTAATAATGGAAATTGCATCATATAGGCAGCCCACTAAGCGGATGGATTTAAATCTGCAGTGAAATTATAAAATTTACAAAAAGGATCACAAACTAGCGAAATATATTGCGAAATATAGCTTATTAATAATCGCCACCCGATTGCACTAATCGCGAACCGACGTATAGTTATAAAGTATACCGGCTAAGGTTGGCAGGTATTTGAACTATTTGAACAACACACAAGAAATATATCCGTAGTATTCGTTCGAATCGAACGACTCGAATAAGCGTTTCCATTCGTCATATTCGTTATGATCGTGCATTAAAAATCACTGTATTTTCTTTCTCCTTTCCTGCAATTTAGTCTCTTTTATCTTTTTTCATATTTCTTCATTTCTTGTAAATAGTTATTTTATATTTCACGCCCCTCATGGAAATCAGCCTTCCAACGGTCGAGGTTAGCGTGATTAAAGTTTGTAGATGTATGCATGTTTGTTAGATGCGGTCGACTGAAGTGATTGTCTGATTGATAGGTTTGACTTACATTACTACGTTGCATCGTTTTAGGCAGTTAAGTAACTCGTTCGTTTCGTCATGCAATTTCGATTCGAACGACTTGACTAAGCATTTCGAATTCAATTGAGCCTTTTCGCAGGCTAGACTAAGCAGTTCAATTCGTCATATTAGTTAGGCCAATGAAAATTGATATCATGTTTCTCGTCCACAATTTTCAAAAATTTGGAGCGGGATTTTTTCATTTTTCATTATTTTTTGTATTTGAATTCTGCTTGTCAATAATTTCCTTGACCCAGTAAAAACCCCCATAAAAATCTGAAGTATTAAAAATTGGTGTATAATTCATTTTAATTTAATACGTCCTACACTACAGTCTACAGACTACAGTATATTTCTTTACACACCAGGGCTGACATGAAAAATAGGGGCATTCTGGCGAGTAATATCTTTAGAAAGATACAATTTGAGTTGCGCTTGCGGAATGCAGCAATAAGACTTTGATCTTGAGATGAATTTGGTGTTTTTAAGCCTATTTTTCAAAAATAATGAATAATGAAAAATTTTCGTGCGGCACATAAATCCCATGCGGGCGGGGACGAGAAACATGATATCAATTTTCATTGGCCTTAGAAGAAATTGACTGAAGTGATTGATAGGTTTGACGTGAACTTTATGATATATCTGCATATATTGCATCGTTTCAAGCAGTTAAGAAAAGTCGTTCGATTCGAACAAATTCGACATTTTGAATCGTCATATTCGTTCGAATGGTTTTAGTAAAATTATTGAAGATTCGTAACAAACATACTTGCAGGGAGGTGAGTCCGGGATTGAACTCACCGAGCGTGGCTGGAGGTTTCGAAGATGGTTCGGGAAACTTCCAGTCACCCAGTCATTACGTTTTGTTCAATGCTTATTCGTGAATATCACGAATAAGACATGAACCCATAATCGAAGGCAGGTTTTCACGCACTTTCCTACTTTACGAGTTAACTCGTTGTAACGGTCCCATAACAGTTGCGTTTTTAGATAAAGATGATTATTTCTGATGTACCGCAGGTGTTAGAAAGACACACAACAGCATCGCACCCAGATAGAACCTATAATTACTGTTTTCGTGACACACAAACCAAAAAAACTACGGCAATTTAGTCATGTGAACATATTTTTCACATTAATATTTATACACACAATATAAAAATTTACAGTAGAATATCACGAGCCCGGAAAACATGTGAATCGGATTCCAACGTTTCAAAATAAATCGTGGCTTCGTCGGGCCACTATTAAACTAGACAATAGTCGAAACTCTGTTCAAGCGTTTAGCGCCGTCTTCGGCGTTGTAAGGAGCTAATTGTGGAGATCTTACGTCGTAGGAGGCCAACATGACGATGACAGCTGTTAATGCATTTAAATACGTCTGGATAAGAATCGTATACGGCTAGTCGTATCATGTAGATGGGCTTTAATACAACGCCTGCATTTCACCCGTGCAACTTATCCGGTTCTTTATGCATGAGGCGAGTATTGGATATTTTACCTGCTCGATAGCAATGGTATTAGGATTGTAGCTTAAATATTCGAAAGCATTTCTCTGATAAATTACATTAGTTTGAAACAAAGGAAGCATATTCCTATATTTTTCAGGCTGGCGGGAACGGATACTTAACGGTTATATAAATATTTCACGACGACAGCTACCCTGACAACACAGTTTTTTAGGTGGCTCAATACAGTTTTTAAAAAATGGAAAATTCACGATTTAGATGCGTGTTTTTGGGCAATTATTTCTTGTTGATAAACAAAAAGTACCTTACTTATATAAAAAAACATCTTTTGCACAAAAGTTACGCAACTGCCGTTCCTATGGCAACAATGACGTTTCAAGATGGCGGATATTTTAGCTTTAAAGTAATTTAACCCGTAAACGAGATCGGTGACAAGCACATTATATTTTAAAAAAATGAATTCTCCTAATATAATCTATTCTTTTGACAATTTAAAAAAATTATTATGAATAATCACCTTTACGTAATTTTAAAATTTTGGCTCCACAGAATTTTTTAACTTGTCAAAATAATCGATTATACTAAGAGAAATCATTTAAAAAAATAAAATTTGGGGGTCACCGATGTCGTTTACGAGTTAAATTACTTTAAAGCCAAAATATCCGCCATCTTAAAACGTCACTGTTGCCGTAGCAACGGCAATTACGTAACTTTTGTGTAAAAATTCAAACTCTTTAGATGTTGTTTTATATAAGTAAGGTACCTTTTGTTTATCAACAAGTAATAATTGTCAAAAAATACGCATCTAAATCGTGAATTTTCCATTTTTTAAAAAACTGTATTGAGCCACCTTAACAACTCAGAGGAATGTTTAGAAATTTCAGGTTTTCAGATGGGTCTGTAAAAGGGTTAGTGTTCGATGAGCAAACATTTAAACCATTAACGGATCGCGATTAAAGCTGAATCTTGAGAACGTATTTTATACACTTTCATTAAAAATATGAAACTGAGTTTAGTTCAGACACTAAAACATAACCCTACTTAAAACGCATTGTTTTCTTGTTACGTCCTTGGATTCGACTCGACTGCGTTGTCTTGGTAAGGATATCAACTATTCTGTACAGTCTTTTGTATTATCAACTTTGCGTTTGCGCCGAGGCCTTCTCCGTCTCGGTTTCTCATTTGAATTATTCGCAGGACTTTTCTGAGGGCTGTTAGGAATCACCACCCGTTGTTCCCCAGTTACTTTGACGACGAGTTGGTCATTTGCATCTGCAGTCGGTGTCCTTTCATTATGACTTGTCATTACCGCTTGTCTTCCTTTGGGTGATTGATTTGAATGATCACTTTGCTGCTGTGGCTGTCTTCCTTTCGGAAAGTTTACATGATTATGCCCGACCGAAACCTCTTGTTGTTTGACCTGTTTCTGCTGTTGTTGTTTTTGTGATTGTTGCTTTTGCTGTTTTCCTTTGGGTGACGTTATACGATCGTGGGCAACCGAAACCTCTTGTTGTTTAGTCGGTTGTCCTTGTTGCTTTTGTTGTTTTTGTTGTTGCTGTTGTTGTTTTCGCTGTTGTTGCTGCTGTTGTTGTCTCAGTTGTTGTCGTTTTTCCTGTTGTTCTTGTTGGTGTTGGTGTCGTTCCTGCTGTTGCTGTTGTTGATGATGTATTTGCATGTTTGGATGTGTCTGTTGCCCAAACGCGGGCGCTAATTGTCGTTGATTCTTATACTGAATTTTGAGTTCTCGTGGTTTCCTATGATCTTTCGGTTGCCTTGTTTGCTCCCGTTCACGTTGCTGAGCACTTGCGTTTCGTTCTTGTTTACGATTTGAATGGTGTGTATCAATCGTAGACTGCATTGGATTCTCGGACAGTTCCTCGACATCATTTCTCATTCGTTGTGGTGGTTGCTGCGGATGTTGTTGGAAATCTTTGACTTTTTCTGTCATAATTTCGTCATCTTTCAAACCTTCACCTGCTCCCTGCTTACGCTTATTCTTCTGCTTTCTATTCCTTGAACGTTTACCAGTTGTTCCCTCAGTATATTCAGCCTCAAATACAAAGGCTTTTCCTTGGTTGGCAGCGGCATCCCCATTATTTCGATTCTTCTAGATGAAAATAAAAGTTACAACGGATGAATCATTTGAAATACAAGGACATCCTAATACACGGTAACTTTTCAGCAATATATACAGGCAATTCAATATATATGTACTATTTAAAGCACGCGTAGGAGTGTTTTATCAGATATAAAACGCAAGGCGCAGCCGAGCGTTTTATATCTGATAAAACACGACTACAAGTGCTTTAAATGGCTTAAAAAACGACCCATCTTCTGATGAGTACATTAGCGAAGTAATTTTTAAAATAAACTTTGTCTAAACCGAGAAAATCAAAGCTAAAGTTTATGTAAATTAACATGATTTTTATCACATATAAAGATACGACACGCTTATGATTTTTCTTTGTGTTTTGCTCCTGAATTATTAATGAGTTTTTTAAATATATATATATATATATATATATATATATATATATATATATATATATATAT